CTATAACAGTCAACCAACACTGGGAGTGGTGTACAGCAAAGGGCGTAGTCAACCCTATAACAGCCAACCAACACTGGGAGTGGTGTACAGCAAAGGAGATGATCAACCCTATAAAAGTCAACCAACACTGGGAGTGTTGTACAGCAAAGGAGATGATCAACCCTATAAAAGTCAACCAACACTGGGAGTGGTGTACAGCAAAGGAGGTGATCAACCCTATAACAGTCAACCAACACTGGGAGTGGTGTACAGCAAAGGAGGTGATCAACACTATAAAAGTCAACCAACACTGGGAGTGGTGTACAACAAAAGGAGGTGATCAACACTATAAAAGTCAACCAACACTGGGAGTGGTGTACAGCAAAGGAGGTGATCAACCCTATAAAAGTCAACCAACACTGGGAGTGGTGTACAGCAAAGGAGGTGATCAACCCTATAAAAGTCAACCATTAAACAGAATGCAGACAATCGGCTGTATGTTAAAATCTGGTATGATGGTTAAGTTGAATACCAACAAAAATGTAATCTGTTCAAAATATTAACATTTCAGATATGATCTTATGTTTAAAATCTTTAATTTCTAATTTTAAGGATGATTACACAGATAATTTTTCTCAAATCAAAAGTTACTTCCTTTTTAATTTACTAGCCTGTGTATGACTTGATTGCTTTGCCTGTTACCTGATTTGGGATCATTTCTGAGCTTCCAGACTTCCTTATTAGAGCAAAGATCATGTCCCACTAAGACCCCATTGACTGTAGCATATGATAGAACAGACTGGGCACCTGTAAAAGGACAGAGCCCTTCAAGAACTCAAACACCAAGATATCCTACACTCAAAATTTGAACAAAAACTTTAAGACAACATTTAAAAATTTTCCTTTGTTCTTCTTCTTAATTCTTTCACACTTTACACAATATATAAAATTGCCTACTTCATAATACATGTACATATCTAGATAATCCTGCATGTCAAGATACATATATTTGTACAGTGCTTACCTGTATCAAAGTATGTGAGATCTACTATGTTTCCATAGTCAGACTTGTCCACATTAATAGCTTTGTTCCACGTGGCCTTTCCTGTATCTATCCTGTTAAAAAAAGCAAATCAATAAAAGAAACAATTCATTTATTTCTAACTTCAATATATAAAACACACTACTGACTTGTAAATGTTGATTGCCCCCATGTCGGTGAATGTGGCCAGAGAGAGAGCATATCCAGGAGCTTCACAGAAAACTAAACCTTCCACTTTCTCTCCTAGTCAAACAAAGCAATAATCAGCACTTATACGTGTCTATTTTCAAGTATAAATCAGATGATTTTAAAAAATCACATATATTTTTCTTTCATCTTAATTTTTTTTATCTGACGATTTAAAGAAAATTGGATATTCATAAAAAAAAATCAATGACATAATACAGTGTATATCAAAGTCATTTGTTATTTTACCAGGTACAGCTTTTATTCTTGAGGGTCTGTTTCCAGCAGTTAGCAACACTGTTTCCCTACAGTTTTTCAGACTCCCATAATTGACTGTACCACCACTGGAGGCTGTGGCAAAGAATGCATGGTCTTGAGAAACTTGAATCCTGCTAGTAGATAACACATTCTTTAATTATGTACATTTACTAGTATAGAATAACAAATTATTTGGCTAAGGCAGTTAAATCTCAATAAAGTCATTGCTGAATAGTATTACATAGAGAAGATAAATGTTACTGCTTAGAAGAGTTATTCCCCTTGATGATGCACTGTTCTTTTTATACAGGTCATTAATTAGTACTTTCTGTGCCCCTCTCTCTACCTGTTGACTGCCACCCTGTGTTCCTGGAGGTGGGCCACCAGCAGCCCCTTGGGTTTCCAGTTACTGTGTGGGGGCCTCCTCTCCCTGGGTTTCCAGTTACTGGGTGGGGGCCTCCTCTCCCTGGGCTTCCAGTTACTGTGTGGGGGCCTCCTCTCCCAGGGTTTCCAGTTTCTGTGTGGGGGCCTCCTCTCCTTGGGTTTCCAGTTACTGGGTGGGGGCCTCCTCTCCCAGGGTTTCCAGTTACTGTGTGGGGGCCTCCTCTCCTTGGGTTTCCAGTTACTGGGTGGGGGCCTCCTCTCCCTACCTGTTGACTGTCACCCTGTGTTACTGGAAGTGGGCCACCAGTAGCCCCTTGGGTTTCCAGTTACTGGGTGGGGGTCTCCTCTCTCAGGGTTTCAAGTTACTAGGTGGGGGTCTTCTCTCTCAGGCTATCTACTATAAGTCTTTAGACTCGGCTGTGTACAACTCACACTTCTTGTGGACAATGTTCCTCAGGACTATCTAACAGGGATATTTTGCTGTAATTCAAAACAGTGTATTTATTTGGGATTAAATGTTTCAAATAGCAGTTGTATTTTAGCACTAAAACATACAATACAATACATCTACATGTATATCACATGTTTATCAGCACAGGAAATTTAAATTTTCAAGCATCTGAGATACTTATACATGGAGGTTCTTACTGATGGGGTTTTTGTCTGTGCTTTTCTCTGTCAGAGATCTGACTGACCCTCAGATGACACCTGACTCTGTGACTGACCCTCAGATGACACCTGACTCTGTGACTGACCCTCAAATGACCCCTGACTCTGTGACTGACCCTCAGATGACACCTGACTCTGTGACTGACCCTCAGATGACCCCTGACTCTGTGACTGACCCTCAGATGACACTTGACTCTGTGACATCGTTACAAAGCTTCCATATGATGAAGATGATGCCTGACTCAGGGTCTGTGAAGTGTTTAGCTTCCTCTCCAGACTCTCGGCAGTTTTCTGTAGGGTCCGGGCTTTTGGAGACAAACTATTGGAGGAGGAATCTGATTCATTGGAGCCAAACATACTCTTCCACTCAGAGTTCTGAAATATCCATACAATATCATAAAATGATATTAAGTTATCATTAACAGAACCCTTTAAATTATTATTTTGGTCAATTAAAATGTAGGCATTTTTTGTTTTTAAGGGGGCCTAATATAGTTTTATTGTGTGAAAACTACAATAGCAAAACTCTTCATTTTTATACCATATATAACTTACATTTTAACTTCAGTGTACATGCAAAGTTTGGGGGAAATCTATCGTCCAGGTATTTTTGAGGGACCGCTCAAAATAAAGGTACATTTACTATAGGATTATATAGGAAAATGCCAATTTTTAGCATTTTAAAGCAAATTATACAAATACTATGATAGACATCTTCTTCAAACTATAATTTTTTATGAGTAATACTATATCATACAATATATGTGAGAAACACAAAATTCTACTGTCTTGTTACCAGAGGGGGCATCTCAAAATGCAAAAAATTTGCAAATTTTACTATTTTTATAGAGTATAACAAAATATGAGGCACACAATGGATTCACATGAAAACATAATAAAAATATTGGAGATATTTTCAAATTTCTATGTTTTAAATTTCAAGAGCGTATGTTTATCAGTTTTTCTTTAATAATATTTTTTTTTACCCCATTTTTTAAGAGCTACAGATTATCATAACGTCAAAAACACACTGCTACGATGTCAACCTACCTATCAATTGCAAAATCGGTTAAAAAATAAGTTATATCAAATTGCAATTACATTTTTAAACCTATATTTTCTTAATTTTGTTTAATTTTAATAATTAAGCGGAAAAAGTTGCATTAAAACTTCATTTTATTATGATGCGCAAAATATAGCACAATAGAAACTATAGTCAGCCCCCTTAAATAACTTCATCTGTAACAAAAAATGTAGAGTAACTCTATACAGCTACTCAATATGTTTACAGATTGGTCCTTTGGATTTGTCTTTTTAAAAGAACAACTAGAACCCCCCCCCCCAAAAAAAAAAAAAAAAAAAACAATTAACTCCTTACATCAATGAGTATCAACATTTTCATTTTTTGGAAGCTTAAAATTTCTCCATGTATCGGGGTAAAAACTTATCTATTAGTAATTTTATGCAAACATTTCGAATTAAATTGTAACCCCTCTGCTCCAAATTTTAATGATCCAACTGAATTTTGCACTACTGATATTACCTAGCTAACAACAGGAAAACACGGTGTACAGTCAGTAGTATTTACAGTACACAAACCTGGAAGTACTTAGATCCACTCCTAGCTGTTTTGGATCTTTCTGTTTCAGTTATTCAGCATGTCTCCTGGTAATGGCTTTTCCTGGGCCCACGATACAGAATCTACCGTGGGAATACCCAGACTCTAATGTTGAGTCTCCACAGACCTAAACAGAGAATTAGAAATTATCTATCAAAATCTAAACCAATATTGAAAGCTTCTCTGAATTTAGAACAGAGAAATAAACATGAACTGTGAGTTAATGAACAAATTTTACTGTCAGAAATGAAGTTGAGAGCTAAATTACTTACCCTCCTCTATTTCTGTTTAAGTTCATTATGCAATCTTTCATGGCCTGAAAACAAATGCAGCTCAGCATCAGAAACTGATAGTGTCACTCTCCAGTCACTGAGATATTTAGAACAATGAGCCTTAATATGTCATACATGTATGAAAGACAATAATTATAAATAAATTGTACTTACAATAAGTTTATCTTCATGTGATTCATCCATACCAAAGGAAGACAACTTTTTAAAAACCTACAAAAGGATTTTAATTCCTCCAGTAAAAAACTAAGACACATAAACCTTGATTAAGATGTGAGAGAAAATGTTATGCTTCTGTTTTTTAAACCTAATTGTTAATTTACTGAATGGAGTGAATGCTGAATCACGTGGGTCATTGTCTCCTCTAGCTTAGGGTAGATGATGCGATGCCCCTGCCAGCTGATGGACCTAATATACTGCTTCTCCCTCAGAACATCATACACTCGGTCCGGCTGACTGACCCACAGGATGTAGTCAAAGACGTTTTAAAGGGCATTCAGCCGAAAAATCTGAAAGAAGCATAATGTGGATACCGGGTAGTTAGTTCATACTTGCAATTTTGCTGGTTAAAAAAATGAAAATGAAACTTTAAAAAATTAACCTTTTGAATTTCGTTCCCACCACTAAAATCATGAATATTTATTATCTGGCACATTGCCTTATATATATTAATTTTCTGTTTCTTCTTTACACATGTACTTGACAGTTAAGACATTTCTAATTTAATTTTTTTGATTGTAATGTCTAAATAAATCAATCATTTTACAATTCTCACAGATCGAACTTTGACGGGTAATAAAGCTTTTTTTCAATTTCTTTTCTACATTCAGTTTATAAATTTTACATGCAATCACATTAAATTTATCTGAACTCTTATAACATCTCAGTGATGTGATGGAGAGGAGTTTCCTTTCCATTCCTATGTACAACAAAATGCTGGAGTTAGTGGGCTGTGAGCAGGAGATAGACATGAGAAGAACGGAGGTGGATGTATGTGATTATCTGTACAATTATTATGGTGTGAGCAGGAGATAGACATGAGAAGAACGGAGTTGGATGTATGTGATTATCTGTACAATCAGCTCTCCTGTGTAGCCTGTCACAGGAGGAGTGCTGGCAGTCACAGGGAGGGGCTCTGTGCGGGGGATCAAATGTTGACATCCTACCCAATAAACCACCACGTCATCTGGGACCCAACAGATACACAGAACTACGATAATCCGAAATCAGAGACGGTGATTCTAATGGAGTATCAGGCGGTACTGCCTGGAACAGTTTATCTGTGGCTATTGACCATATACACCCCTCTAACAATATTATAACTAAACACTATAAATATAACATTATAAATCTGTAATTTCTATTTTTGAAAAAGTATGGAGACTTTTTGTAATCGAGCATAACAAGACCAGGTCACATTTAAATCTTAAGTTTATATATTCAACAGCTATAAACAACAATGGCATGTGTCTATTAAAAGGATATACATAAATTATAACTTATGGTACTTCAAATAGAATGAAAAATAACAAGTTATGAGAAAAAAAAAACAAGTTATGATAAAGAAAAGTATTTCAAAAGCAAATACCTTTACGGAGAGTACGGCCACGAGGAGTTGTGACCTTGAAAACTGGCTGGCCAGACAAGTAATTTCAATCAAACTTGAGTATTTATACCCAGATCTACTGCGCAAGTGGATTGAGTTGATTTTAAAAATACGCCAGTCAGGAATAAGATTACAAAAGATTGTTCGACAAAAGTCTTTATAAAATATAAGAATTATACTCCCTTGATTCAATTAATCAAATGAAAAATATGTTTACAAAAGTGAGTACGGTATTAGCCTAAATAAATATATGAAATAAAATATTATACAATTATGGACTCTTTTGGTGTTGAATATGGTTTGTTATTAACCAGAAAAATATTCATATAAAGCCTCGGTCAATATGAATATTTTTCTGGTCAATAACAAACCATATTCAACACCAGAAGAGTCCATAATTGTTTTATTATACAGTTGGGATTTGAATAGATAAGACATTGAAGGCTGTATGATGACACCATTTTCATTTGCGATCTTCCATTGTTGAAAATAAAAAAAAATCTCCAGATTACTGTTTGTAACTTCTGTGTTTTCCTTTCCGAGTTTCGCTATGTGTAAGACGTCCAAAATGTTCAAAAATAATCCTGAATTAGGTTTGATTAATTGTATTCCTGCTCAGATACATAGCTCGCTGCGGCCATTGCAACCATTGCATGTTTACGACGTTGTTCGATGTTTTGATTGTGATGTCACAATGCCGTTGCACGCGCATTGACCCTCCAATGAATACAGCCTAAAATCCGGTGAATATGTAGTGTTATGAACTGTTTGCATTTGTATAGATTATATAGGAACTATAAATAGAGTAAATAATAAATGTAATTATTTGGTCACATATTTTTTTTATAGGTTACTTACAGGGTGTGCCAAAAAAGGGACCACTTCATGTAAGAACTCATGAAGCATGGATTTCTGAATGAGACCTAATTCTGAAAGCGTCTGTAGAACACCTAACGTCTTGTGTACAACAAATTCTTCTGGGTCACTCAGGCCCTGAAACAGAAAATCAAGTTTATACTGTGAAATAATTATTTCCATTGGGGATTTAATGATCATTGTTTCTGTAAAATTTGACTGGTTATAATTATCATCACCTGATTTCTGTACCTGGTCAATAAGTGGCTTCAGTATAGAGCAGCTCTGCCACCCGATGTAGGCGGCCACACCCACAATGTTGTCAAAGAAGGAGCCGAGTAGATGCCAGTCAGTCTGAAAACAAGAATATAATGTATGTGTACATACAGTGTAATTTGGCATATTCAAATTTAGCGAAATCACTGGGTATGAGTTGTTGGTGTATAATCATGAATCAGCGCTACACAACTCTGTGTCATATTTTGTATTTATAAAAGATTTCTTAGAGATACGGTAAAACTCGGTTATAACAAGGTCATTGGGACCTCTGAAATTAATTTGCTGTATCCCTTATTCATTATATCCGTATAAGGAATTAGTTGAATTAATATAGCTGGGGGATCCATGATAACTTCGCTATATCCCTGGATTCATAATATCCATGTTCGTACTAAACAAGTTTTACTGTATTCATAAATTAGCACATTATCGTCTGTTCCAAAGTCTCTAAAATATGAAGCCTGCTATTCTAAATACTGTATACAGGGAAATTTTTGCAGCTTCCACCTACCCTCATTTGGGCGAAATCAAAGACTTAAATTTTCAGTATAATTTCTTAAACAAAGCTATAACTCGATGAATTCAAATTGGGGAAAAATTGTTTGCAACTGTGAAAGGGAGAAAATAACACTTGGTGAAAATAACCCTGTATACAGTACACATACAGTACATCACTGATCAGAGAAAGTCTTCTTAATTTCAGACATAGGACTTTATAGGTTTAATTATTATTTAACAAAACCTGAGTTATCTTACCTTGTCATTGAGAAAAGTAATCATGTGAGACAGCAGCACATCATTGGCTGAAAATTAAATACAGAAATTAACATTTCAAAAAATTCAAATCAACCATCCTAATCTTGTTGAGAAAAGTATTTTTCAATGCCTAGTTTTGGTAAAGTGAGTACCTTTCTGCCTGCCAAAGAAGACACACAGCATTGTGATTCCGTTCTCCAGTAGGGTCTGTTTAACACTGTTGTCTGGGTCACTCAGCAGGGTCACGACCTTCTGTTGTCTGGGTCACTCAGCAGGGTCACGACCTTCTGTTGTCCCGGTCACTCAGCAGGGTCACGACCTTCTGTTGTCTGGGTCACTCAGCAGGGTCACTACCTTCTGTTGTATGGTCTTATGTAGAGACAGCAGCTCTATGTCATAATTTGCCTGTTTAAACAACAAGAGGCCCATGGGCCACATCGCTCACCTGAGCAATGTGGCTAGGAAAAAAGGCATAAATTAGTTTATTATTGAAAAGTTGAAACCCAATAGTGGTCCCAAACAATCCTTAAAAGGGAGAGCTAGGGTACGATTTGACCTTGCAATTGAATCTACACAAACTAAGGATGCTTGCATATTTCTTTGACTACTTGTGGTTTTATTGCCCTTTACATTTGAACTTACATTGTGGCCCAGCCCTACCCCCAGGGGTCATGATTCAAATAAAATTGAATCTACACTACCTGAAAATGCTTCCATATAAATAGAACTAATCATGGCTTTGCTATTTTTGAAAAAAAGATTTTTAAAGACTTTTTCTACATGTTTCTATGTAAAACTTGGATTCCATGTCGTGGCCCCGCCCTACCCCCTGGGGTCATGATTTGAACAAACTTGAATGTCCACTACCTGAGGATGCTTCCATAAAATATGATCATTCATGCCTTTGCTATTCCAGAAAAAAAGATTTTAAAAGAATTTTCGTATATATTTCTATGTGAAACATTGATCAGCCATATTGGCCCCGCCCTATCCCCAGGGGTCATGATTTGAACAAAATTGAATCTCCACTACCTGAAGATGCTTCCATAAAAATATGATCATTCATGCCTTTGCTAATTTTTGAGAAGATTTTTAACAAATTTTCCTATATATATTTCTATGTAAAACTTTGATCTGCCATTGTGGCCCCACCTTACCCCGGGGATCATGATTTGAAAAAAACTTATATTTACACTACCTGAAGATGCTTCCCTATGAGTTTCATCTCTCCTTGCACAGTGGCACTGGTTCTTGAGAAGAAGATTTTTAAAGAATTCTCTTATGTATTTCTATGTAAAACTGTGATTGGCT